GAAGATAGTGATCAAAGCAGATGACAGTAGAAGCAGTAATGAGATTCCAGATACCAGAATGTGGTTTGAATAAAGATGGGGTAGATTGCATGCGTTTGAAAGGGAAGATGCTACTTAGAGGTGATTGCTCTTGTGGGGCTTCTGTAGTTCCCATAACGTTCACATAAGCACCCAATATTTAGGAAAGAATGCTGGTAATGTAATATGAACATATGACTTCAGATTCTATTTCACATTCTTTCAGCATGTTGTGATTCATAACATGCTGCACCACTTAATGAGCATTTGGTAGTGGAGCACTAAAATGGTAACTTTTGGGTGCTTATCTGAACTAAACTTTGAACCTTCTGAAGTTCACCCATAGTTATAGTCTTGAGTTTTAATCATGTTGCCGGCAGTATTTCAGCAGTAAGGCTGAAAATACTTCAGGTTGATGCTTTTCAGGTCTGAATTGTAAGTTACAATTCAAGCTAATTATTTTTATGCTCTATTTTAGCAAATGCTCATCAAGAGGTGCAGCATATTACAGATTAAGCGTGCTGAAGTAACATAAAATTCTAATTAACATCTCAAAATTTTATGAATAAAAAATGAAACTCCCAAATTTATCATAGTTTAATATGCATTGTGAATGTTTTTCCCATCTTATTTTTTTAATATTATGAGCCAAACTGCTAAGTTTTATTGGAGGCTTTCATTAGTATCGAAAACATTAAGAACAGCACAGCAATTTGATCTTTGCTCATATTACTGAGTTTTCATTGTGCTGTATTGTGACCATTTATAATGATTATGATATAGGATGCTTAGATGTTGCATAATTTGAAATGCCTATGTGTAACTCTGCATGACGCAACAGAAAGAGGCTCCATCATTGATAACACTTAGGCAAAAGGAAGATAATTTGATTTGCTGTTTTTTTTCTCTAGATGGGTTCAGCTTTGTTTAATTTACTGCAAATACAAGCATCCGAATTCCAAACTGAAGTCATGGAGCCCTAAGATACACCGTTACAGGTTGTCATCTATCTTGTCTTGATCTTGTAAAAGGCCTCAGCTTCAGTTTATGTTTTCTGGATTTTAAAACACTTGCCCTTGTTTCCTTTACAAATCAAAAGTTACTAAGTCCACACATTTGGAGACTGACTTTGAGGTCATTGATTAATTTTCAGATTATGCTTCTTTCTCTTAGTTTCAGTAAATTATTTACACAAATTTAATGTTGGCAAAAGGTATGTTAGCTTCATCCTGTGTCGGCCAATGAAGAAAAGGCTATCCTAAAGGGTCACCTTATATTGGTGGGTGGATGTGGGTGGGTGGGTGGGGGTGCATATGTGTGTGCGTGTTAGTGTGTAAAAAAAAAAAAGCAGTATACTTTCCACTAGTGATTTTGGATCTGACCTTTCCGGGATAGTTCCTCATGTGTTTTTAAGGCCGGCTTATTAAAAACAGTTGGTTAGAGATGTTACAGATAGGATGGTGGTAGTAAGGAAATAGCTCAAATCAGAAACTATGAAACTAAGGTAGTACCAGGTATAGGGTTGAGCTGGAGAACAGAAAGCTTTATGCACCTTAGTCAGAATTTCTCTGTTAACTTTCCAAAATCAGCTGAAAATAAAGAAGACAGAGCCGTAGTAGTACCTGGTATAATGCCATTTTCATTTAATGAAATAACAACACAGATGGATTTTCCAGTTCTTTTTAGACATCCTATTTGTTTTCAAATTACTATTAATGTTATTTTTCATTTCATGTATAGGGTGATGGAGAATGTACTTCAGATTCTACTCTTTCTTTTCAATGCCAAACAGCAGGGGAAAATAAACAACTTCTTAAATGAGCTTGGCTATATTTAAAAGAAATTACAAAAATAATTTAATTTCTTGTTTTTAATATAAATTACTTATACAAATTGATACATTGTGCTATTTTAGTTAATAAATCCTCTGTGTTTCACATAGTTTTCCATAAGGAAATAGTCTGTTGATTTTGGGATATTGTATGTCTGTCTCAAACAGAACTCCTTTCTGATTTAAGCAGAGGTTTTTGCTCAAATATTAATGGTATGATACAGCCCATAGTAATTTTACATTACTTTCATTTTGTCTTTAGGGATTTTACGGACTACCAGATTATGTCAGTAATAATATCTAGTTTTGATATAGGCTTTACATCTCCCAAAATGATTTAGGAAGAAGGAAAGTATTTTTCTCATTTGTGGAGTAGGGAGGTGAGCTGACATGCTTAGGATCATCCTCCAAACAGATGAATGACTAAAATAGTTCTGGAGTTCTGTATCCATTAATTCACACAGTTCAGCTGATTATTTCTTTGGGATTAAAATGTCTGGGTGATATTAGTTCAGTGAATTTGGAGGAGTCTAGTGCCGTGAAGAAACCTGAGTGTACAGAAAGAATCCTGTCAGAAAGAAATAGTTAAATATTCTGTCTGTGTATACATTAGCCTGGCAATGAAATACATGTTTGTCCTAGTTTCGGCTTCCACTTATGTTAATATATGGATGGTATATTTGTGTAGGCATATCAAAAGTGAAATTCTGCACATAAACTCTAGAGCACAACCTGGAATTCTGGATTCAAATCACCCTTCAGTGTAGATGTTTTCAGATATCGGGCTGTTATTCAGATCTGACTTTTTTGCTTCTGTCTGTATTGGAATGATTGAAGTCTTTGTTTCTTAATGCAGTTGAATTTTTGGCTTTTCAGAACATCGAGCCAAACTTTGCAAAGTCAGCACAGCTATTAATTTAAACATTTGAACATGATCAAATGCAAAATAAACAGAAGGTCACAAGTAGAATTGTCACAGTCTGACACTTCTAATTATGATTGGACAATGTAAACTACACATGAAACATTAGCAAGTAAATTACACTAATTTTGTTCAACAAAATGAGCAAGTAAATGTAGAAGTAAATAAGGCAGGACTATGACAGGAGCACCTCATACTGTATCTGAGAGGAACCAGTTTTCACTTTGAAGTCCATACTGTATTGAAGTTTGGATTCACGTGCAATTTAGATATGAATTTGATTTAGTGTTGAATTTTAGCACCTTAATGGCTGTGAAATTTGTAATCTAGTTAGATTTTTCAAGAATCCTTGTGATGTATCTTCTGTTCTTCCCTGTTCTGTTTAATATTTTAAACCATATATTTATTAGTATGTATCTTAATCTGAAAATTTTATCAGCTGAGTGGCAAAAGCAAGTGTTTTATTCAGAGATTTAAGTAAGGAAGTGTTTACAGTTTTTATTTCTTCAATGACAAATTCTAATCTGAAAAGTTAGATGGTTCTACATTGGCTGCAGGTATAGTTTTGCAAGTGGTGCTATTTCTCCTGAAAAGAGACTCAACAATTTGCTTAAGTTTTCATAGAGCCACCCACCAAATAGGATGAAATAGCTTAGTCCTAACTGTCAAAAATTGGATAGAAACTCCAGAAATCATCAGTACTCTTTCTTCATCATTTCAGACCATTCTAATACGGTATGTTTTTAATGAATTTTTAAAAAGATACCTTGCTTGTACCAATCATGAAACTGAATACACTGTATTAACAACCCTGCAAATGGCACCAGCTGATTTTAAGCTTGGAAAAGAATTTTGCATTATTCAGGAAAAGCTTGTACTGTTGAACTGTTACTGCAACTGCTAGTGAATAATGTATAAAGAAATCCATTTGTATATGCAGTGCAATGCAAGAAACATGAATCTTAGCACGAAACTTAACAGCTATTCTGTTGATGTCTATAGAAAAGATAGCCTAGGTGCCAGATACTCATCCATTTCCTCAGAGAAACAATGAACTTGGGGAGGGAGGGGACGGGTGCCTAATTAACTGTCTTTTCTGTTTTGCTCTTTGTACCAAGGTTTAGCCATAGGATCTATACTGGATTATTTGTAAGATACAATTTCAAGCAGCAGTTACATAAAATGGAATGGTAATGATTATCATAAGATCATTTTAAAGATCTGGGTATCTTTCACATTTTTAAAAATACTTAAAAAATAAAAAATATCTATAAGCAACTTGTGAACGCTTGCACAGATCTCAAAGTAATACAACAAAGATTATCATGTAAGTCATTTACTGTAAAAGCAAAACACTTCTGATTCCATTCTGCATGCATAGCTGAATCCAAGGGCAACTGAAGCAGTTGAAAATTTCCAGTGTTCAGCCAACTTTGGATCATGCCCATATTATGAATTTCAACCCTTAGATAGCTTTAACAATGAATCTCCAATGTCAACAGAACTGGCTTAATTTAAATGAGTAAATGTGCAAAACCAAATCAGAAAATATAGCAGGAAAAAAAGATTATTTGAAAACCTGTGTTTAATGCAGACAACATGGGGAAATAAGATAGGCTAAATAATTTATGAAATATCAGCTGCAAAGCTAAAAAGTCTAAAGGTAATTTTAGAGCATAGCTCAATGAGCGCTAAATACATCTTCACTGTTTTAGCAAGTGTTACAGAAGAGGAGTGCTAGTAGTCTGAGCTCAGAAACTTTGGTTTTAACTAAAGGAAACGTAATTATTGCTGTATCATATTTCAAAATTAATAATATCCTTTACCCATGTAATTTTGAGGCAGATAATGACAGTAATGGAGATACTACAGCACATCTGAAGACTACTTTCACAGCAAAAGTATGCTAAAGTATACTAAGCCCAGTATTAGCACTCATCAAGAAAAAAGCAATTATAAAACATGACCTGTATGGCAGGTGTGAAAAACACATTCTTGTAGGCTACAATTTGATGCTTCCAGAATTTTTTTTGGCAGAATATTCTTAGGTAAAACATGGTGGCTTTGAAATTGCTCCAGAATATTTCACAACCATCTATAGATTTATCTTTCCAGCACAGTTCTTAATAGTCTCTGTTCAAAACAGATTTGTGTATACCTGTGTGTAAGAGCACTGGAAGCAATTTTAGGCTTTTATTCTGATCAACTTGCTCCTGCCTTCTTTCCTAGGAAGTGTGTAGAGAGCTCTGGTGCCTCAGCAAAAGTAACCGCTGCGTTACCAACAGCATTCCGGCAGCTGAAGGTACTCTTTGCCAAACAGGGAGCATTGAAAAGGGGGTGAGTACAAATAATTTATTGTTTGAAGAAGCAATTTAATATTTAAAGACTGCAGGAAGAAAGAACTAGAAAATTAAAGTACTTAGGAGCTGCTGTAAGAGTTAAAAAAAAGAGTTGTTGTTCCGTTTGCATCCTGAAGGAGGTGTCCTACAGAATTATTTCGTAATTATTTTATATATGTAATTTAATAAAACATTTATCCTTGCTGTAAGATTCTATAGCCTGGATTAAAAAAAAATCTCTGTTACATACTCTCTGTATATTTTTTGAGTAATTTTTGTGAAAACTCTTCAGTTTAATCTTTATTAAATTTTATAGCACTCTTCCATAAAGGCCTGTTACAACTCTAGGTCTGGCATGGACTTTGAAAATGTGTAACATAAATCTAGAGCCTGAACTCTGTTATTTTGTTAAGAGATTAAAGAAGATGTTTATTCCTTCAGATACAAGCTGAATCATACAAGCATATAGAAAAAATGTTGCCTTAATAAAGGGGTTTTCTAAAAGCCCGTATTTCACATTGACCTTTCTGTTTTGACTTTGGATTATTCCTTTAGTATTCAGTTATACCTGCATAACTGTTTAGCTTTATTAGACTGCACAGGAGGGTCCTTTAAACTTTTCTACCTAACAGAAAAGTGCAGAAAGTCAATGTTGCAATGGAAGTTTAGTGCTACTGTATCCATCTCAACATGTGAATTTTTATTTTTAAAATGATGTCTGTATATCAGTAGTTTCAGAAAAAGTTCTGAAATTTAGTTTTAGATTAAGAATAGTAAAGAAAATTTCTCAATCACAAGGCAAAATCTATACAGATCTTAAAGAGGAGAGAAAGATATTTTAATTATTAATTTACAGGACATGTACTGGGGAAATTGTTAATTCCTTGGGCCTTTTTTCAAGTTAATGTATTTTATGTAGGTTTGTACAAAGTGAAGAGAGCTGATTATTTTAAACAATTTCAGGTATCAGTCTGAGAGTTGCAGTATCTCTCCATCAGATTTACTGCTCTAGATTGGATTTTTTCCTAACAATGATTACTGAGATCTATTCTTACTCTGACTTTTGCCATGCTAGCTGGGCTAGTTTCAACAAAGATTACTCTGCATTTTCACTTGCAATCTGATGTTTAAATAAAAAGAATGAAAGGTTTTAGGCAGCTGTCACAGTTTATTAATGCTTGTTGACGGCTTCATTCAGGGCCCATGACCTAGCATTTTTCTGATGGCTTTCCCATGCTGAGTTTGGAAATATTGGTAAACCATGTTAAATACATTCATTGAAGGGGTCATTTAAAAAAATAGAGAGCTTAAGAGTTAGCCAATGAAAATACAGACACCTTCGCGTTCTACGAAAAATGTTACCTTTTATTAGAATAATAGAAGATGTTAGAAGCCCTACTCTTACATCAACAGTCTGGGTTTATTTTGGAGCCACCACTCCTTGTCAATGACTAGGAGCAATTTACTTAAATTTATATTTTTTAAACCAGGAGACTACAATGAATGAGTTGAGATGCTTTAAGACACTGTTGCTGTGTCCACTTGCCAGCAGCTTTAATCAGTTTGCTCTCTACAAAACATCTTTTCCCCCTTGTCAGGATCTTGTTCCATCAGTAGATTTAGAGGGAAATGAGAGAATCAGTAAAGGTGAACTCATCATGCCTGTTAACAGCAGAGAATTGTATCTGTAAACTGCAGCTTCAAAGGTTCCTGTAAATAGCAAAAAAACAGAAAATATGAGCTCTTTCCAAATATGACGTTCTCTTTACCACATGCTAAGGACAAAATAATAGGTTACAATTCTGTAACACTGTATTATTATTATTACTTCTACTACTACAACAACATTTATATTGCAGTCACACCTAAAGGCCACAAACAAATTACGCCCTGTTTTGCGGGGCTCTGTCCAAATAGTAAATGACGTTCCCTGCTCTAAAGGGCTAACAAGAGCTTGGAGTACTTCTTCATGTTTGGAGGGTCAATTTCAGCTTTTAGTTACACTAGTGTAAATTTGGTGTAACTATGAACTCAAAGGTGTTTGAGGCAATGTGCATTAATATCTTATTGGCAGAGTTGTGAGGGATTTCTACAATTAAAATGGCCTAACACTCTATTATAAAACCTTCTTTCAGTTGCTTATATAAACCTGCCAAACTTCTAACTCTGTGGGTTGAAATTTTCCGCAGTAGGTGCCTGCCTACGCCTGAAGGTTTTAGAGTGTTTTCCATAAAAGTTACTCTGCTGTTTTCTGCATACAGTTGTACATCTGTTCTGTATTGAAGCTTTAATATGTTCATGCTTTGGTGTGAAGGGTTTTACATATCGGCTGGGTTCAAAAAGGTACACTTTTTCCTAATTTGTAATAATAATTTTAGATATACACGAAGTTTTTCTCTGGTATACCCAGAGATGTGTTTGTGAAGGTAAACTAACTGATAGATTTTTCTAAAAACTCTGAGAAAATGGTGTGTATAAAACAGTAAGACAAAACTGATAGGAATGTTTATTTTGTCTTTGAATTTAAAGTAATAAAAAAGTAACCTTTTCTAACATCATGGTTTAGATCCATGCTAGGGATGTAGATGAGGGATAGATGTGCAAAAAGTGAACACAGTGTTCTGAAAGGACAGTTTAAATAGCTAGATTGCGTGATGATTTAAGTTATTCTTGGACATTAAGGTAAAGTAAATTTCAGTTATTATTGGACATCAAGTTTTCTTACAAAATAATTGTAGAAGCAGTGATTGAAAATACATTTTTAAAATTGAGATGGCAAATTTAAACTGAATTAATCTTTTTTCCTCCCTACAAAGGATGAAATAAATTTTCCTCAATATTAGAGTACTTGCTGTTTGAGTTTTCTAAAAGCATACTGTTGTAAATCTTAGATCTGTTAAACAGTTAATATTCATAGAAAAGTGATATCAAATGTACCACAATATCATGTTTTATTTTATTGTTAATGATCGCTATAAGAAAAATCTCTGACTGCTTACATTATTCACAGAGGTTTTTGCATGTTTTATACATGTTCAAATGCATCACCACTGTCTTTCTAGATGAACTATTTGAAAGTTAATTTATTCAGTGCTAGAGAAGAATTAGCATTTCTGTTTTAAACCTTTCATGAAGGATTGTTCTTTTAAAAAAGCTGTCACATCCGCTTGTTTCGTCAGATATTGGTTACTCAATAGTCCTTACCTCATTATAGTAGATGAGGTTTTTGTAATTTGTGGAGGAAACATGTTTCTGTAGTCACATTAGAAATAACGACAATTTTAGTAATTTTTAATTACTCGTGACGCAGATTCTGTGCATCACTGGCTTCTGGTGAAAGATAATTTTCACTAGAAAATCAAGAAAATACACTGAAGTGAGCAGTAAGTCCTCAGATTTAACTTCAGTAGAGGAGAAAAACCAGCATTTAAGGATTTTTTACAGGAGAATATGGAAATGTGGAAGACAATGGTTGCATGATAGAGGAAATCACAGAGTACGGAGATTTTACACAGCTTTGGAAAAACAAAGCAGGTAAAATGCACCTGCCTATTGTATGTAGTCATGATAGTATAGAGTTAGGATGGTTTGCATGTTCTGTTCTGGATTTAACTTCAACTCTAAGTGTCTTTCATGCCTTAACTTTCATTTTGACATGTTTGCAATACATATAAAATGTAATTAATAATTATTATTTATTAATAATTAATTCAATTATTAGCATACATTTTTACTCTAAGAAGCATTTTAATTTTTAGCATTAGATAACTGTTCATGTACTTGTGTAGCATCTTTAATACAATGCTGCAAGGAGATCATTGTCTTTAGTTAATAAAATCATTATCACTTAATTTATCACTATAATGGGAAGAAAACCAGAAGATTTTAATCCCTCGTGTAATTCACATGAATACTTCATTCTCCATCATATTTGTACCATTAGAGGCATTGCAAAACTCTGTGCCACATGGATTATCTCTATTAGCTGAAAATCTGAGTCCACTATGCAGACTGTATTATGTGTTATGCAGACATTCAGTGATAGTCTGGATTTAAGAAAAGCTTCATATGAAGGGTACATTCCTCTGATGGATGCCTGCTCCATGAAACCTTGTGTCTTTGGTTTTGGTTTTTTTTCTGAAGAATGGTGTGGTGGGTTGACCCCGTACAGCAGCCTGGCCTCCACCCAGTCAGTTGGTCACTACACACACACACACACGGGATAGAGGAGAGAATTAGAAGGGCAAAAGTGAGAAAAACTCATGGACTGAGCTAGATAGTTTAGTAAGTGAAAGGAAGGAAAGAAAATGTGAGTAAGAGACCAAAGGCAATCACTCACTACTTCCCACCAGTAGACTGCTGCCCAAGGCGGTTTCGGAGCAGTGGCTGCTTTAGAAACGCCCCCCCCTCCAGTTTTCCTGAGTGGAGTATGATGTTACAGGGTATGGGATATCCCTTTGGACAGTTTGGGTCAGCTGTACCTGCTGTGTCTTGTCCCTGATGTGTCTTCTCCCAACCTCTTGCCCAGACCCAGCCTACTCACTTGGGTGGCAGGTTGAGAAACTGAGGAAGCCTTGATGGTGTGCAAGCACTCTTCAGGAATAGCTAAAACATCGGTGTGTTATCCACACTGGTCACAAAACTAAAATGCAGCACCATATGCGCGGCTATGAGGAAAACTCTGTCCTGGACAGACCTGACAGAAAAGTCAATACATTTTGAACTTGAGATTTCAAATAGTATTCTTTGTCTTTTCTGTAGACCCATTAATGCTTGATTTTTGTTTCTCTGATAGAGGATGAAGCTTATAAACAGAAATGTGGTGGACTGTAACAGCTGTGTTTTAAAACAGGTACAGCACATACAGAGAAAAAAGAGGTCATGGAGCATAAAAATGCTTTGAGATAAGAAACAAGAATGAATGCGGCTAGAAAAATATGCTACAGGTTTCACTTATTGCGGAAATAACAAGGAAATAATATAATAAGGAAATAGATCAAATGGTACCATGTGTTCATATGCAAAATTATGTTGTATCTGGGTGCATTTGCTGATGATAAGCTACACAATTTAATATATCAGCTTAATGTATGTTCTTGAGAGCTACACACTTAAGACTGACACGTTTGACAGTCTAGAGTATCTTTTCTTCAAAATGAAATTTCTACTGGAAAAATACAGATTTTTATTCGTTTTCTTTAATTAACACTCTTTGCAATCCTTGTTCATATCAAACTCCTTTTAAGTCTTTTTTCTGAGTAATGACTGAAGGTTAAATTATCTTTCCAGTAGCTTTCAGAAAAATCTAGAGTAATTCAGGTCATTGTGAAGGGCTGCATTTACTTGTTTACGTGTGTCCCACATTGCTGGGCTTGAGGCTTTAGGTGAGCCTTAGGACTCAGGAGAAGAGAAAACATGGCTTTGCTGTACTTAACAGTATGAAGTCAACACTGAGTCTTCCAACAGTGGTTATGGGTGGACAGGGGTATGTCTACCTGTCCATCTCTTCCGTGTGTGTCTCAGTGCTTTTTGTCAAATTCATATGGATGATTTTGGACAGAGAAGTTGTCTAGGTTTCTTTTTTTGAAAGGGTCAATACTGTGTCTGTTACGGGAATTCAAGGAAGTTAAACAGCAGATGCCCACCTTTTAGAGGTGAAATGTGCAGATTCGGGTCACAGTAGACCTGAGGCTGTGCTCTACTCCATCACCTAAACCTGTAACATTGGGAAAGGGATATCTAACTGAGCTACTCCAGATGCTCAGTCATCCAGTAGACACCAGAATGTGGATCTAGCTGTGGGCTCCAGGATTATTTCTGAATGGCTTAAAAAAGGTTTCTGACTAAGGAAATTAAAAATTTATTTTAACAGACATTTGTGCGAATTGTCTGTCATTTTGTATGTCCGATGTAAGTAACAATATTGCAAAGTTTAAGTGTTTGCATGAGTGAAGTATGTGTGTTCATTCTGTCCCTGAACAAGTGGCCCTGAACAGTGGCACATGATTTTCTGTACCATGTCTAATGCTTTGGCACTACTTTTTATTATGTCTGTAGGTTTAGTATAAATGAAGTACTGCAACAAATTCTTCTTCCATTGTAACCTTGTCCAGATTTTCTTTTTTAAAATGTAAGGGAATACTTCCTTAAAAATACTACTGGAGAGAATTTTTCATTTTCCATAATGAAGCCGCTACATGAATCCTAAGTGGAGGGTGTTTAATTTATTAAACTAATCTTAGAAATGAATCTTAGTGTTCAAAAGAATGTAAGCAAATTGCAGTTCCTTTAATGTGAAACATTAAGGAGGATGTATGAAGAGAAAAAAAAAAAATCTTTATTTTAAGCTTGCTTTAACTTCTGGTGTGTGTTAGGGACCTATAATTCAGGACTTAGTGAAGACAATTAACAAATCACACACACCCTCACCAATGTCTAAACATGGCTAGAAAAAGTAAAATATTAGTCTTGTTATCTATACAGAGAATGCTAATGCCTATAATTGGTCATTGCCTGACCCTTATATTTTTCTGTCCTGATAACTCTGTCAGCCTGGAAGCTAATTTTATGTTTTTTTTGTGAAATCTTTCAGTGGTGTTATCAGGGAGAGTGCGTACCTTTTGGCACTTGGCCCCAGAGCATAGATGGGGGTTGGGGTCCATGGTCAATATGGGGAGAGTGCAGCAGGACCTGCGGGGGAGGAGTCTCCTCATCTATAAGACACTGTGACAGTCCAGCGTAAGTAGCTAAAGTAAGCCGGAGCCAACAAAAAGACACATTTGGAAATTATTCAGAACTGTGGTTTCACATGTTATCTGTAAAAATGTTTTGTTAGTTTGCCAACATTTGTCTTCAAAATAGCAGACAGAAAACTTAAACAGGAGGCGTTCACTAGACATACTTTTAACATTTTTAATGTATCTTACGTACTGTAAAGATAGCTGGATTTATATTTAGCAGTAACCAGAATGGTTTTCTTTCTGCAATTTGCTGTTCATGCAAAATATATTTAAATTATGCCTTAGATTTCTTTCTTAAGACATATTACCTCTGGTGCTTGTCTAGGATATAAAATAACTATTGCCAGTTACTTATTAAAAACTGAGTACAGTATTTCCAAGCTTTTGCATACAACTGGTTACTTACATATAAACCATAGTTAGTGGTATTATGTTGCATACAATACATCTACATGCAGTCATGTCCAACATGTCGTTGTGACTTCCCTCTGACTCTTAAAACAATTCAGCAACTTCTCTCCTTGCCACTACTTGCTATTGGTCCACCTACTCCCTCTTAAGAGGGGCCAGCTTCTCCACTACAGCTTGATCTGTTGTGTGTATCTGTACTGGTCCTGTCATCTGTCTGCTTTCCAATGCCCTGAGCACTGTTCCAGAGAAGGTCTGTCAGGTAAGTGCTCCTCTCTCTGTCATCAGTGCTTCTCAGATGAGGAGTGCTTACTTATTTCCTTTGCTGTTCTTTGCTGAATTCACTGCTTCATTGCTTTTTTCTGTCGTTGCTTGCCCTGTTCTGATTACATCATCACAGCTATAGGTCTTTGCAGAAGGATAGTTTTATTTACTCCGTACTTTGTTCTTGTCATGTCCCATAATCACTATTTCCATCACCATTATTAGTTTTTAAGACCACTTCTTCTTGAAAACACTAAGCTTTTGTGCTTCCTTCATGAAAATCCATTCTGTGGCTTCATTCCTTTCTTACCTTCTCTCTGTATGATTAGATTCTTTGTATCTTGCACCCACGTTTTGCAAGCTAGGCTGTATGTCAGCCACTGCGCTCTGCAAGACAGACACCATAATGTCACATTACTGCTGCTTAAGGTGGTCTGTTCACCTCCTGTCATTAGCAATAACTATCCAATCTGGCAAATAGGACTACTTACTGAATGGATTCAAAAGCAAAAATTATCCATACGCATCAATAACATGTCAGACTATGTTACTGAGAGAATAATAAATTAAATTCGTGGTTCTTTTCACAGCAGTATGTAAAAATGCTAGTGAAATGTTTGTTTGGAGCATGAGTAATTTCCTAAGATTTTCTAACTGCTTCTGTCACCACATATATGGGTTGGTGTGTTGAAAGGTGATTAAATGTTTAACAGTACAGCAAGCAAATGCATTTGGGGAGGAATACGTCTGCAGTTAGGAAAAAACCTCCTTTTGGTTCAAGGTTAATGTTGCCTGGTTAAATATCTGTAATGTGTAAGGTAGTATTTTCTTCTTAGTTAATTGTTAAATTCTTGTATTTCTTTTTATAAAACAAACACAGAGTGTTTTTCCATTCTGCTTTCAAGTTATGAGCCAAAGAGCTGATGTCTGATTAGTCTTCCATTTAAGTCAATGTTATTTCATTATTTGACCTCTGTGGAAGATAGATAAGGTTCTTCAGCAGTTTGGGAATTTAGGACCCAATGTCTTATTCACACTAATGGAACCTGCTTACTCTGGATTTTCCTCAGATTTAATACTGCTTAATTCAAATCAGAATCAGATTCTTGAACTAGAAGCAGCAGTCTTTGCTGGCTCCATTATTTAGCAGGCAGTGTTTCTTCATTTTGCTATATATTTAAGTATAATATGACAAGATTTTTTTAAAAAAGTATCACATAGATTGTTTACACATTTCTCATTCTAGTTTTACAAAGCAAGCAAATAATTAAAACCAGTGTCTTTTTAGTATGTTCAAAATACAATTAAACTGTATTGCTTGGGATCTATGCAAACTAGAATGAATACTATAGAAGTGATAATTTTCAAGTACCCCATATTGTTTTGTATCTGTTCCAATTCAAGTCAATGCTACAATTCTTGCTAAATAAAATATTTTAAAATCTCACCTTAAAACTTCCATGTAATTTTATTTTTATTTCTGTAATATATAGCTCTTGGACTTGTATTTATACTAGTAATGCATTAGTATATCTCATGAACTTGTGTTTGTACTAATACATATACTAATACATAAAATGTGTTTTTCCAGGCCTTCAGGTGGAGGCAAATACTGTCTTGGAGAAAGGAAACGGTATCGCTCCTGTAATACTGATGTAAGTAAATTTTGTTCCACTGTAAAAGTGTAGTCAACTTGTCTGTTTTACATTTTAGCAGCAATGGATACGTTTTTCCTAGTTCAGAAAAGCTGTGAATTCAGCATTTTACTGGCAAACAGATCTGTAGGGCACTTCTGTATTGCAGGCACCCTTTGTGTTCTGCTAAATGTTAGAATCCCTGTCTCAATGTGATGCCCAGCTGGTGCCTTTGCATTAAGGCCTGGAGTGAGTTCAGCTTGAGCATCAACGTTAAAGGTGAAAAAGGAGCATTACACATCAGAGCAAAGGTCTGTCTAGCCCAGTGTCTTGTCTCCCATCAGTGGTCAGTTACAGGTGTTTAGGGAAAAATTATAAACTTTTAGCAGCCAAGGCATGACTTTTCTGTGGATATACTGTATGAGTTTCCAGAAGCTGGGTGTCTATAAAGATTTTTTGAGATCCACATCGTATCTGTACCATATTAACTGCCACAAATGGAAGTATCTACCATGAATCCACTTTTAAACACTCCCCCTTTTATACCTTTATTACTTCCAGTGCTAATGTGTTACACAGTCCTCTCATACATTCTGTGAAAATTTATTTCTTTGATGTGTTTTAACATGCTGTTTTGCCATCAGGTGTCTGCTGGCTCTTGTATTACCAGAATGATCATGAAGTTTTATTTAATGCTGAGCCCATCAAATAATGAACTACCACTGAGGGGATGGGGCAGAGTATAAATGTATAAAATCGAATCATGAACCTAAATTACAAGTTCAAATAAGTTAAAAATTGAACCAGAAAAAAGTGCACATCAATGAAGAATTTCACTAGTAAGTTTCTAAGTCAGTAGCACTACAAATCTAAACATGCCTTCATATTATTTTAGCTTCAAATTACTCTTAATTTTCTTCTTATATCAAGAAAGTTTATAACAATGGGAGAATTTGTACATAGAGATGTTGTTTATCTTTTGATAATATTTCAGGAAAAAACCCAATAGTTAATATGCTGATTCCTTGAAAAAAAGCCTTGGGTTTATGATCATTGCTAATTATCGTAAGTATTAGATCTGCAAACTTCTCTGTGGAGGTTATTCTCAGTATTAGGTAGTACTACAAATTTCCGAATCAAAAATGACTTTCCTGCTGCTAATCACAGCTTCTCTGTTCACACAGCCAGGAAATGTGTTAGGCCTCTGCCAACTTTTCTGTTTATTTGGGATTGATATCAGGCAAAGTGTAACCCAGAATATTCTATTTGTCATTTTCAAATGATGACCTCTTTACATTACACTGTTTCAGTTTCTGCACACAGTCTAAGATTTATTAAAAAATACACATTTGAACACTGGAGCCCTCCTCCCTTAAGTCTTCGAGGACTCTTGTGAGGTAGTTGCCCAGGCATTCTTACTTAAAATGTATTTCTCCAATAGATATTATTTAGCATCTGCCACAGTAACTAGTATACAAGAAAGTTTATATAATATGTAATCCTGCTCCTTCACAAATATACAACAATTTCTAATGTTTTTTTTATTAACAGTTGTACCATAACTACCTATGATACCATTTAAATGTTGCTATGACTTGTTTTATTCTTATGTTATTTCTTATTGTCAGACACTTTTCACACAGTTTTATTCTTACTTGGGTTTGCTTCCCTCATTCTCTATTTGTTTATTACTGAGTGGAAGCTTATAGGGTCACAGAACGAACATCTAGAAGGTATCTGAGGAGGCCATTCAGGCTATTTCCTGGCTCAAAGGCAAAATCAACTGTCATTAAACTGATGGTTAGGCATCTGACCTGTTCTGAAATACCTCCAGTCTGGAAGATATCATTAGAATTCTTCAATATCCTTACAGTCAGGACAGTTTTCATAAAATATAGTGTATGTTTTCCCATCCTTCTGTTTGCTGACTACTATGATGTCTCTTCATAGTCTTCTTTACACTAGACAGTCTCTGTGTTAATAGTCTTTGGGATTCCAGTAGTGCACATCTCTTGAAGTGTGGTGCCCAAACCTCTGCACAGGATGCTAGCTGAGGCCTGTCAGGGATACCTTGTCAGACTTAGAACATAGTCTGCCATCTTAGTGATGGGATTCCATTTATTGCATTCATTTTTCTTACAGGAGTGACAGTATGTATTGATCCATAATGCCCAAATCCCTTTCTTAAGAGCTGCTGTTTTAGGAAGTCATTCCTCAGCTTGTGCTTGCACAGCTGATTGTTCCTACTCAAGTAATTTGCATCCATTGCTTTATTAGAAACCACTGCTCCAATTTATCAAAATCTTTTAAAATTATAGTCCTCTATTCCAAAATATTCGTTCCTTACCTATACTCAGATCTCAATCAATAATTTAAAGAAGAAATTGGAAAGGAAACTTTGCATTTCATTGTCTAGGCCTTAAAACAAATCCTGAACAATTGCACACTAAAGCCAGGCAATTTGGAAATTACATTCTTACAGTTTGACTATGAATAACTTTTTTAGCATATTTTTGGGTTATGATTTTCCAGTGCATAAACATATTGGTACTTACAGAAGTTTAAATTTACTGCCTTAACGGTTTTGATGATTGTAGTCTATTTCTTCTATAGTAATATTTAAAGTTCTACATAACTAAGAATTGCTGAGACTAGTGGATTTTGTTTCAAGATTTATGATAGTCCTTAGCGCTTGATGTTTTTAATGGAATGGTATGTTTGATTAATGTAACTGTTAAAAGCATGCAAAACTGTCATTGTTTTTATGAAAAATGTGTTGTTTGTACATCTTTTCTGTTGAAGTTTATTTTGTAGTGTCAAGATTCATTGTCTGTCTGTAATTTTCAAAGTAGCACTCCCTAAAGCTCCTACTATTCATAAACCAAAAAAACTTCATTTTGACTTCATTTTTCTTTTAGAGATTAATTAGTTCTGTTGCCCTTTCTTTTGACCATTTTAATTCTTTGGAAACAGCACATGCAGTCCTACTAGGCTTATTTCTCATCAAACACTTCCAAAGCCATATATGACTTCTTAATTCAAAAGGCATCTGCTAATGGAAACATTGAGATCAGCAGAACAGAGCATTAGCTAATGAGTTCTGGAAACAAAAGGATGGTAGAAAGAACACACTGATCAGAAAACTTCTTTTCTACCACTAACCACACTATCTGTACAAAAATGTATTTATTTTTCCAGCCACAGCATTTTTAATTTAAAAAAAATACAAAATGCTGGTAGAATTACATGGCACATCATTACTCAGTTGAAGTAACAAATTGTCTGATTTAAAATATATATAGGATGTGAAGCTTAATTTGATATATATCTAGAACTGTAAAAGCCTCCTAATTTTTTTATATGGTAAAAAACATATTTTGCTTACAAGTCCTGTGAATGGTTTACCTAAACAAAAGTATTTGTCTATACATACCTTTAAAAGATTCTTTGTCTTAAGTCTTTTCCCTTAATAGAATGTAGGCAAATGTTTTTTGTTGGTTCTTTCCATTATGAATACATTCACATATATACTGTTCATTGATTTCCTAATTTTAATATTTTCAAGCATATTTCTTCTAAAATGCATTCATGCAAGGAGCTATGTCTTAGAACAGTACCTGAGTTTCAACTGTCACCCCTCTGGTTGTGTTTTGCATCTTCTGTGAGGTGTAGTACAGACCTTTGTTAATAAGAAACACAGTGAGTTAAATTACTGAAGTCTGCATGACTTTAAGCTCCAAGATAAACAGATTTCTGTGAGATAAGATGTTTGGTGTCACATCAATGTTAGTTCAATGTTTTGTTAACACTTCTTAGACAATTTGGTTTTGCTTCAGTCTTAAATTTTATGTTCTTATTAAAGCAAATGGGTTTTTTTAACTCAAAATTTTAATTATTTCATCATCATCTTCTCAGGACCTTCTTCAGACACGATTTCAAGTTCTTATACATTTGTTAGAATCCTATCTTATGATTTGTAGTCTCCTAAAAGAGCATTTGGAAACACAAGCAGCCTGTTGCTTGAGAAGTGTTATCAATGTACTGTAACTGCATGAAAGAATGAAATATCTTGCCTAATAAAGAGAAGCAGTTATTCTACATTTACCTTGGGAAAAGAGTACATACACAAAGAGACAGTGCTGAAGAACTGACATTTTGCAAACACATATTGTAGCTTATGTTGCAGTAAATATTTTGCATTTCTATATCTATGATTTTCATAGAATCATAGAATACTAGGTTGGAAAGGACCTCAAGGATCATCTGGTCTAACCTTTTGTGGCAAAAGCGTGGTCTAGACAAGATGGCCCAGCATCCTGTCCAGTTGAATCCTAAAAGTGTCCAATGTTGAGGAATATACCACTTCCTTGGGGAGATTATTCCAATGGCTGATTGTTCTCGTCGTGAAAAATTTAACTCTTGTGTCCAATAAGAATCTTCCCAGGAGTAACTTGTACCCATTACCCCTCTTTTCCATGTGACTCCTTGTAAAAATGGAGCCTCCATCTTCTTTGTAGCCACCCTATCAATATGGGAACATGGTGAAAAGGTCTCTCCAAAGCCGCCTTTTCTGAAGGCTGAACAAACCCAATTCTCTCAGCCTTTCCTCATACAGCAGGCTTCCCAGTCTTTTGATCATCTTGGTGGCCCTTCTCTGGACCCTCTACAGCCTGTCCACATCTGTTTTGCATAGTGGGGACCAGAACTGAATGCAATATTCCAGGTATGGCCTGACAAGCGCTGATTAGAGTGGGATTATGACTTCTTTATCTCTGCTGGTGATGCCCCTGTTGATGCAACCCAGCATCCTGTTGGCCGCCTTGGCCACAGCAGCACACTGCTCACTCATATTGAGCTTGTTGTCCACCAGGTCCCCTGTGTCCCTTTCCACAGAGCTGCTCCTCAGCCGGGTAGATCCGCGGCTGTGATGCACTCCTGGGTTATTGTTTCCCAGGGGCAAAACCTTACACTTGTCATTGTTGAACTTCATAAGGTTCTTGTTAGCCCACTCTTCCAGCCTATCGAGGTGTTCCTGCAGGGTGGCTGTCCCTTCCGAAGTGTCCACTTCCCCACTCAATTTGGTATCATCAGCAAACTTAATCAGGCTACACTTGATCCCATCATCCAGATCACTTACAAAGATATTAAAGAGTGTTGGGCCCAGTATTGATCCCTGGGGGACAGCACTTGTAGCAGGTTGCCAGTTTGAAAAGGAGCTATTTACCACCACCCTCTGGGTGTTGCCCATCAGTGAGTTCCCCACCCACCGCAAGGCCCACTTGTCCAGACTGTAATGCATCAGTTTCTCTAGGAGGAGGCTGTGGGAAACTGTATTGAAAGCCTTGGGGAAATCCAGGCAGACGGTGTCCACCACTAGCCCCACGTCAACTGAGCAGGTTACTTTGTTGTAGAAGGAGATCAGGTTTGTCAAGCACAATTTTGAATGCATTTCTTGAGGTCATAGCCTTTAGTTTTACTTCTGCTCAGGAATCGATGAGATACTGAAAAAGACAGGAAAATTATGCAACAGCAACAAATTTACAGGTTGCATTTTATGCTTCAGATTACAGGATGGTGCAGGTTTCAGGCTATCATTTGGTAACTGCAGTCTTCAGGATGACTGCCTGAAAACTACTAAATCCACCTGAAAGCTGGATTAAAACTAATGATTTGGACAAAGAGCAAGATCCTGAGATGAGCGATAGCACTTGTCAGTATTTCAGGATTTGCTGAGAGGACTTAGCCACTAAGATGGAAACTTCTTTTATTGGAAAGGTCACCAAATCTGCCTGTGAATTGATGGATTTGCATTTTTAGAGCTAAAGACATCTGGTTATGTAAAAGCTTTGATATCATTGGTATATTAGTTTGTGAAATTAATTTAACAGTAGTTGCAGTATAGAAAACCAGTAGTCTTCAGGACTACTAAAACCAGATAAAATACCAAGAAAGCAGGAACATTGTATGAGAGGCTTCGCTCCTGTAGTTCCTTTAGCTGCTCCTGAGTATTGCCAGCCTTGTCTGCTGTTCTTGTCAGCAGTGAGGTTGTAGACTATGCATACTTGTTTGTAGTAGGTTTTCTGTCAGGCTGCCAGAGCTGTGTTCAAGAAGAAAAGAGGGTACTAACAGTGATTTTAGCAGTTTAGATGGTAGAAAAAACTGAATATATATGTAATAGGGTAAAAGACTTTGTTCTGCTTAGAAGACGACTGCTGGACATCATCTTGTACAGTTCCTCTTGCTCAAACCTCAAATAGGTTGCCCAGGACCATGTCCAGATGGACTTTGAATATCTCCAAGGAGGGAGATTCCACCACCTCTTTAGGCAACCTGTACAAGTGCTCGGTCACTCTCAGGGTAAAAAAAAAGTTTTGTGATGTTAGGAGGAACCTGTGTTTCCGTTTGTGCCCATTGCCTCCCATCCCTTCACTGGGCACAACTGGAAAGATTCTGGCTCCATCCTCTTTACACCCTCCCTTCAAATATTTGTACATATTGATGAGATCCCCCCCCAGGGCCTTCTCTGCTTCAGGCTGAACAGTCCCAGCTCTCTCAATCTTTCCTCATATGAGAGATGCTCTAGGCCCTTTGTGGCCCTTCATTGGACTCTCTCCAGCATGGCCATGTCTCTCTTGTACTGAGGAGCCCAGAACTAAACACAGTACTGTATCTGCGACCCCACCAGTGCTAAGTAGAGGGGAAGGATCACCTCCCTGGACTTGCTGTTGGCACTCCTATTGCAGCTCAGGATAACATTAGCTTTCTTTGCCACAAGAGCACCTTGCTGGCTGATGTTCAGCTTTGTGTCCACCAGGGCTCCTAGGGCCTTTTCTACAAAGCTCCTTTCTAGCTGGTTGGCCCCCAGCATGTATTGGGGCATGGGGTTGTTGCTCCCCAGGTGTGGGACTTTGCAATTCTCCTTGTTGAACTTCGGAGATTCCTGTGGGCCCATTTTTCCAGCCTGTCCCAGTGGGCAGCAGCACAACATTCTGGCATATCAACCCCTCTTCCCTGTTTTATCTTATCAGCAAACTTTTTGAGGGTGTACTCTTCCCCATTATCCAGATCATTTATGAAGTGATATTGTTGCCTCAAAATAGATCCGAGATCACCATCAAACAAGAGAAGCAAGACTACATCTCAAAGATCAGATTGCAGGAATTTTTTTAACACTGTAAATATGGAAGTCATGATCTTTCTTTACTCATCTTCATATTTTATTGTTTTGTCCTAGTGTAAATATTTAGAAAAATTATTAGTGGGAATGATTTAATTAATTTGTAGGGGGAACTTGGTGCGGTTAGAATACCAGCCATATAAATTAGTACCTAAGCTAGTAGGACTGAAGAATAGGGTGCAGTAGCTAGTATCATAGAGATTTGGACTCAAGCTTTGAGGTGGATCAAGACTGACCCTTCTACTGCTTGGAGAATATGATGTGAAGAGACAAATTTAATTTGTGTTACTGTTAAAAAAACCTCTTAAAAATTCTTACTGTTTTATTTACATAGTTATTTTTTATTCTCACTGTTGTCATTTGAAGGATTATTGAAGTAGTTACACTACTTTTTTTTTTTTTTTCCCACCAGTAAATATATTCAAAAATGTGTTTTCATTAGCAGGAGATAATAGAGTGATTTCTAGAGAAAATCTAAAATTTAAATGCAGCCTAATGTTCACTGTTTTAATTTGTATTGCAACAGCTTTAAAACTGAAGAAAAAAATTTCCAGTTTCTGAATCATATTACAATGGGCTGGCTGTTCTAAGAGCTTGATTAATGTGTACTGAGAATAATAATTATTATGTCAATATTTGCATGGCACAGTAAATTTTTATCATCCGTGTTTATAGAGACCCTTTCACTTGAATGCATTTCAGATTCCTGAACACTGCTAACTGGCTTAGATACATAGGAAGACTAAAATTTCCATAAAATAGACTCTTCTGTTGCTCATAAAATAATAATATTTATTAACACCACTGATTTCTGTCAAACAAATTCTTTTCTCTTTCAGTCTAAAAATGATTTTAATTTGTATTTCAAATACTTTGTCTGATGAAGCTTGTGATTTCAAAAGGTACTTAAACATTCATAACAATGTTTAATGAGCTCTGTAAATTCTGGGCGTATTCAAGATTAGTTGTCATTATTATTTCAGACCTGCTGATGAAAAATGTGAGAAGTAATAAAGAATTCTGTTTCTTCTATAATTCTTTCCAAGCTGAATTTCACTTACATCTGCCCTCATTCCAAGGAAAAAAGATTTTTTACAGTTTTGTAATTGGTAATGCAAAGTAATGAAAATTTAAATGAAAGCAATTTTTATTTCTTCATGCTTGGAGACATAAAAATCAGAGCCAAACATGATATCTTTTCTCATTCTCAGCCTTAACTCAATGCTTTTGTCAAGGCTGCAAGTAAGCAGAGGTAATAAAGCTCTTTAGAAAGTGGTTTAATTTTTTTTCTTGATGTCTTAGTAACATGTTTCAGTACAGCTGCTTAGTACAGTATAACTGAGCCTACAGCTCTTACCAAAATTATTTTAATTTTTTCAGCTGTTTTTAATGTGTGTTTATAAGGAGGTATCTGATGGATTGATTGTAAAGCATAGTTTGATGTGATTTTGATTGCCCAATTTTATGGGAACTGTTATGTAATACTTACCTCTGTTTAAATTACTTCAGCTACTTCATGCCAGCCCTAACATTGCAAAATAGACACTTCAACTGTAAAGTGATGAAGCAAGTTTCAGAATCAGTGCCACAAAATAAAGCAAGGAACCACCTCCTGGGTTTTTTCCATGATTATGTTTGCAATATAAGCGTTTCTTTTATGTTGATATTTGGAAGAAATTAACCTTTTTTTTGTCTTACTGTTTTAGCCATGTCCTTCAGGGGCCCGTGATTTTCGAGAAAAGCAATGTGCAGATTTTGACAATATGCCTTTCCGGGGAAAGTATTATAACTGGAAACCCTACACTGGAGGTAATGGTTAGCTTTGCAGAAATTTTATCATATGTGAAGTATTCAAAATTACATGAATGCTATATAGAGAGTAATGTTTGTAAATAGATAGCTTTGATTGAGATATAGTGAGCTAAGTTTGCTAAGCTTGTACTTTTGTACAGTCAATTGCTGAAAATGTTGCAGAAGATTCATCTCTATTCTGGTAGAATTTTGATTTACTGTGAAGGGGAGTGAGCATCATTTTAGGGACTCCACTTTAAAAATCTGGAGCCCCTCTTCACCTGCAGTTACAATAGAATTAGAGATTCCATAGGTAATCTGTAAAAAAAAAAAAAACCTCACAGTAAGTTTTCCTTTCTTAAGGTCAGAGTATTAGGAAAAGGAGAAAGAAGTGAAAGCATTTATAAGAGTCCCTAAAGACTATTTCAGTAATTGAATTATAAATAATTGCACTGTGCAATACAAGGGTATTTTGCAGCAGAGAAGAGGGCTGTAATTTCTTTTTCTCTTTGAGACAGTTTAATCAAGTTTAGTTATGTTTCTGTTGTCATTCAAAGTTTGTAGGTTGCCCTTTTATTATTTTGTTTTTTCCTGTTCTAAAACCTGAGTGAATTAGTCCATGTTCCCCTTGTGTTCTTGTATTTTATTGACTTGAATGTTTTACTCTTAGTTTTTTAGACTAAAAGCCTAAGAAGGATCATTGTGATCATGTGGTCTAAGCTGTAGTGTAACTCAATAGGACTAAATTCCTAACTGAAATAGTTTGATCTTGGTTTTGAAATTTACCCTGATATACTTCTAGCACTACATTCTTTTGTTATTCTTGTTTTTCAAATGGTGAAGTGGTATCCTTATTGTTTTAAATTGTTCAATAATCATTAGGGTTGTGTTAACATTATGGAATCGTTATGGAGCCAGCCAACCTTGCCATATCTTACTATGCGAAATAATCTTTTTTGCAAGAAAGAAGAATCAAGTAGAGAAATCAATAAAGGGAAGTTAAATAAAGTGTATACATTATATGTGTCAGGTATGAGATAAGCTTATAAATTTCAGATCTGCTTATGCATACATATTTTTAACTAATTGTTAACTTTTCAAGATTTCTGTTGGGTTTTTTTTTCATTCATTTTTGTTGTCCAGGTGGGGTTAAACCATGTGCATTAAACTGCTTGGCTGAAGGTTATAATTTTTACACTGAACGTGCTCCTGCAGTAATAGATGGGACTCAGTGCAATGCTGATTCACTGGATATCTGTATCAATGGAGAATGCAAGGTTACAAATGTTTTATAAAGTACTTACGGATTACTTTGTTGTGTCTGCTACCTCCTACATTTAATTGCAGTACTTGTTTGTTACTTATGTGAAATGGAAATGTTGACAGGTCAAGTTGTTAATGAAAGAGTAAGATTGAGGAAAAAAAAGATAAAAAAGGTATTGCATAAATGAGACAAATTGTTTGAATTTCAGTAGCTTCTCACAGGCTTTCATAGAATCCTTCATTTTGTCTTCCTTTTTCTTGCTTTATGGTTTATGTTGAGGAATCGATGGAAAGGGCAACAGGAGATTAACAGAAATCTTGCACTGTTCTAAGGCCTGTTCCATCTTTCCAATTAGAACACCACTCTGGCTGAAAAACAGTAAATGTGAATATACTAATCTAAAACTAATGTTTGTCTCTAGTTTGTTCAATTCTGCTGTTTATGTAATTGAAACGGAAAGTTGTCACTATTGCTCTGTAGCAAAAAAAAAAAAGCATATAATGACACAAGTATTTGCTATTTACTAAAAATCTGGTTATCTTGTAAGATTCCTATAGAATTGAATTACATAAATTTGCATAAATTGGAGGTCTGTGTCATACTTTTGGTTATATACATCCCACTGCCTCTTCAGTTTAGCAGTGTTTAATTATGTGCTTAAATCTAGGCATCTAAATAGTGCTGGTGACTCTAAAAATGATTTGATTTCACTGAAACCACTAACATAACTAAAGCTTAACCCGATGTTTTGCTAAACCGAGGGCTGAAGATGTATGTTTATTGAATAATATGATGAGATCAAAAGCATTTGTCATATATTAGTAAACTAATGGAAAAAAAAGCACAAGAAATGACCTGTGGAATTCTGGTTTTATTTTTTATATTTATACATAAGAAGATTTTAGTAGTCCTGAGAAATCTTCTAAAACTAATAATCAGACTAAATCTCAACTCGAGAATGAGCTATATAATAAAGTTGGGCCTCTGTCTTCTTGGTGAATCAGAAAGTCAAAATGCAAATGGTTAGAATAATACTATTTTGTCAATTACTTAAAGCATTTTAACTTCTCTTTTGACCTGTGTATTACTTGTTTACAACATGGTAGATAATATTGCTAGACAGTAAACAAAGTTATGTAGCTGCCTCCTTTTTTGTATATATCCTCGAAAAAATTGGCAAGCTACAATGTTCATTCTCTGTCTTTTTTTTTTTTTTAAGGATCCAGCTGTCTCTTTTTCATTAGCTTTGTAATAGGGTTGAATGAATAAGTTATAGGAAGCTAATCATTGTTCACTGTACATAGATTTCTCAAGTAGATTATCAGAAATGTAATGTACTTTTTATGATCAGTTATAGACATCTCTTTTTTCCAAAGTCTTTTGAATCCTATCTAATACAGCATGTAATTCAGCCTTTCACTATTTCATTCTGCTTTCATTCTTACAGTGAAGTCATTTACACTTTACATTCAAACTTAGGAAAATAACTGCAAGTTTTGCCTGGAGGATGTGGAAATACGGTCTATGAAGCTGTAAATGCCTTTGGGAACAATAATACTATTTATGATGCATAAGTGTTTAAGGAAAACACAGCAGATGTTTAGTTTAACAAAGCAATATAGGTGGAACACAGCTGTTTTTATTACATAAAAACATCACTATTCATTTATCGATAACTAGTAATTACATTGTTTGTAAAACACTGTGACATCACTTCCTGAAAGTCACAGTAAAAATACAAAGTACTTACTAATCAAGATTTGGTAACAACCCAAAATGTGGATTGTTCTTGTTTCTGATTTTTTTTTTTCCTGGTAAGTGAAAATCCACTTATGGTAACAGCTATCACAAACAGAGTAGATAAAAAAAAGAACTGAGTATCACAAACTGGAGAGAAACACTTCAAAAAATTACGAAGATAGTGGTGCAACACCATCATCCTGTTAAAGTGTTTGTTCTTATCTGTTCTTAGCATGTAGGTTGTGATAATATTTTGGGGTCTGATGCTAAGGAAGATAGATGTCGTGTTTGTGGAGGAGATGGGAGTACATGTGAAGCCATTGAAGGTTTCTTCAATGATTCATTGCCCAGAGGAGGTATGCACATATATTTCCATTCCATTGCACAGTGCTTTTAGATGACTCTTTAGAAAATAACAGTGCTGCATTGATTTCCAGCACAACATTGCTGCTGGTCATTCATGTAGACTCCTTTTGCCTCATTGTTTCCTTTTTCTGTATTAGTTTGGATTTATGTCAAATACAGCAATATGTTTCATTACTGAACACTTAGTTCTTACGGTCTCTAATGCACTTAAAAGAAGTTGGTGTGGGTCTTTTTTTTATTTAGTTATGGTGGTATAGTAAGAGTAATGTCATGTATGGTTTTAATTTTTATCGTAGAATCTAATATTTAGTCATACATGAAATTTTAGAATAGAAATAATCGGAAATGTCTCTTAAATTCATCTTATTAAGAACTCAGGAAGTGTGTATGGGCAATCAGTTTAAAGCTTAGCTCAAAAAAGACGATATTAATTGTTGCAATCTTAGTGTTATCAGATTTGGACTTCAGAATACAGGAAAAGGACTGATGCTCCAGAGTCAATTCAGTTCAGTGAGGGACCACTAAGATTCCTGGGGTCTGGAGCACTTGCCCCCTTGTGAGGAGAGGCTGAGAGAACTGTTCATACTTAGCCTGGAGAAGAGTAGGTTTGTGGGAACCTAGTATTTATCAGTCTTCCAATATCTATGAGGAGGTTATGGAGAAGACAGAGCCAGGCTCTTCACAGCGGTGGGTACATGGTGGGACAAGAGACAGTGGCAATTGAGACAATTGAAACAAGTCAGGTACTGACTGAATGGAAGGAAAAAATTTTCCCCAGGAGGACAGTCCAGTGGATCAGGTTGCCCGGAAAGGTTGTACAGTTTCCATCTTTGGAGTTTTTCACAACCCAGCAGGATAGAGCACTGAGTAATTTTTCTGATCAACTAGCTGACCGTGCTTGTAGCAGGATGTTGAATTAAATGTCTGTCTGAGGTCCTCTCCAAGCTGAATTATCCTGTGATCCTAAGTTCATTTTATACTTCAATTATTTGTGATACATTGTTGAAAAGGCTTTATAAGCACTTAAATAAAGGAATTCCTGCCTACATGGTAAGTTCTTGCTATCACTTTCAAATTTTGTGTGAAATTTTAAAGTTTTCCTTTATATCACATGAAAGAAAATATTCAAGTACATTTGAATCCCATGTCTCATACTGATTTTTAGTAGTAAATAATTTATTAATTATTAGTTTAATGAGTAATACTGATTAACATAAACAAGAACAAATAAAATTAGGTAAATTTGTCTTACAGGCTACATGGAAGTGATTCAAATTCCAAGAGGTTCTGTGCACATTGAAATAAGAGAAGTGGCAATGTCAAAGAACTACATTGGTAAGAACATGGTTTAAGTAGCAGACTGTAATTAAGTCAGAATTTATGTTGTGGTTTGAAGGTACATTTTCTGGTTTGGCCAAATGATACACATAGTAGAAGCAGCAGAGGGAATTGTTAGCTGTTAATATTAGGTTGTGATCATACAGTTGCAGCAGTTGGTTAGGATGTATTCTCTTGAATGGAGCTGATGAAATACATCATGTAATTCCTCCTTGTCCATTCAGTGCGAAATCAGTTCAACTTCACTATAGTTAGAGTGTCAGACTTGAGCTGAAGTGGGTGAGGAACACTCAAATGATCTACTGTCCCACTCTGAGGTACTGTCTTCCATCTGGGAAGTCTCTGATTTTGGGGGATTATGCCATTGTAAAACATAATTTTATTCTTGGAATGTTTATTTGTCAACAGCCATAGTTATTTAAATGCTAACAATACCGTCTCCTTATCTTAAGGCAATTTAATGTATTAATTCCACAGTGTTTCTGTGTTGCTGTGTTATAGGGACTAGATACCATCCCTGTTTTATAGATAAGGAAAATGAGGTGCAAAAAACCTAGGTGCTTAATTGAGATCATTCAGGAAACCTGCTGTAAAGCACAGAATTAAATTAAAATTTCCAGATTATTATTCCTTTCTTTAGAGACTGTGTTAAATTCACTTTCTGTTTTTTTTAATACTGATAGGTACAAATCTGGCTTCGTTGAACTCAAAACAACATGCAGTTCTGAAAGTCTCTGTAGCCTGCTTTGCGCAGCAGTTTGTCCACAGTAGTGCAAGAACACTCATTTCTTAGTCAAAAATTAATCTATTTTGGATTAGCTATTTTAGCTGATTAGTTGTACAGCAAAATAACAGATTAACCCAACCAAAAGCTATTACCCGTTCAGGCTGAACAGCAGCTGTTGAAGCTACTTTTGTCAGTCAGTACTTCACGTAGTTGGTATACATAATACTAACGTGTTGGAAAGGATTATGATGCCTGTGTTAGAAGGGCAGTTATCCTAGGTACATTAATTCCTAAATCGATTTTATTGATAATAATGGTACCTTTTACTGTTGGATGCCTACTTGTCTTTCTGCTGCCCCCACCCTTCTGTAATTCAGCATATAATCAATCTTCCTCCTTTCTTCAGGAATAATAACACCACTACTCCAGCAGTATAGTGCTTATTATTCTTTCAGCATCACACTCCCTGTGGCCCCTCCTCCACATCAAAATATACTGTGGATAAGGTTGCTCATATATCCTATGCTGACATTTCAAACAGAGGTGGTGGGAGAGAGCCCTGCCGAGAGGGACTTGGGGGTACTGATGGATGAAAAGCTAGACATGAGCCGGCAATGTGCGCTGGCAGCCCAGAAGGCCAACCGTACTCTGGGCTGCATCAGGAGAAGCGTGGCCAGCAGGTCGAGGGAGGTGATTCTGCCCCTCTGCTCTGCTCTGGTCAGACCCCACCTGGAGTCCTGCGTCCAGCTCTGGAGCCCTCAGCACAAGAAGGACATGGAACTGTTGGAGCGGGTCCAGAGGAGGCCACAAAAATGATCCGAGGGCTGGAGCCCCTCTCCTGTGAGGACAGGCTGAGGGAGTTGGGGTTGTTCAGCCTAGAGAACAGAACACTGCAGCAAGACCTGATTGCGGCCTTTCGGTACTTAAAGGGGGCCTATAGGAAAGATGGGGACAATCTTTTTAGTAGGGCCTGCTGTGATAGGACAAGGGGTAATGATTTTAAACTGAAGCAGGGTACATTTAGACTGGATCTAAGGAAGAAATTCTTTACAATGAGGGTTGTGAAATACTGGAACGGGTTGCCCAGAGAGGGGGTGGAGGCCCCATCCCTGGAAACATTCAAGGCCAGGTTGGATGGGGCTCTGAGCACCCTTATCTAGTTAGCAATGTCCCTGCTCACTGCAGGGGGGTTGGACTAGGTAACCTCTAGGGGTCCCTTCCAACCCAGAACATTCTATGATTCTATATGATTCTGTGATAAAATGTATCCTATCATGGCTGTTTTCTGCTAAGAAGTATTCCACAGGCAGCTGAAAACCAGAACAAAAAAGATAACTTTTAGCTAGAACAATTAACTTGTTACTCCTCTATTTTGTAAGCAGAGGAAAGTGATCTGGAAAAGCATTTAGATTGGCACCATCTGTATAAAATGTATGAAAAATGTGAATTTTTTGGCTTAAATAAAAAATACAGCCAACTTCATTGGTATTTAATCTGGTAACAGGTCTAAAAATGTAAAATGATACATAAACACTTTTTTTAATATGCTTGTCACAATTTCAAGGGGTTTCCTGAGTTTTGGGCTCTCTCCTCACTACCTTGCTTCATGCCACAGGAGCCATGACTACACAAATGGGGGATTCCTCTCCTTCACTAGTTTCTTCTGTTTCCAACTTTCAGAGGTGCCATTATATCCTAATGAAAGATAATCTTACTAGGTCACAGAGGCCATTTAATTTTGTGATGGGATGTTTTGCTCTGTGAGTGTGAACCACATCACTATTTTAGGATCACCAGTTTCTGGAGAAAGGAAGGCTTTGAATTTGACTTCTCCCTTAAAAAAACTATACAAGCACAATGGCAGTTAAAAATGAGTTTATTATGTTGTTTTATGGATATTTCTTTAGTGGCAGTGTCAACTTTGCAGGTCCTTCCCCATCTTTATGGAGTTCCCGCTGTTGTTCCAGAACAGCTGTTTGTGTAGCCACACCATGAACCAGATTAGAGAACTGATTCAGCTTAAAGTAACCTTTTACACATAGTGCTATATTTTTTTTTATGTGCACTGCTGTCAAATATGCGACCACAGTCTAAGAAATCAATTTCTCTGGGAGTATACAAAAAACTTCAGTTAGAAGGCTTTCAAACTAAACAACCCATGGTTCTTTAAACTAAGATCCGGTTCTTTTGCAAGCCATGGCCTTAAATGTAGGCTGCAGTTAGACATTTGGCAATTCACTTAGCTCAATCAGCACCTGTCCTCCCTCCCCCTGTCTCTGGCAGGTCATTTCAGCACCAATATCGCTCCTAGTGTTGTGACAGCAAAAGCATGCTTCTGCATCTGCATAAATAATGCAGTATTTTAAACTGATCTGTCCAACAAATAACCAGCAACAACAAAATTGCCTGTTTTCAGAGCTGCTGAAAAGATGTGAGTTTAGTAATGCTGTTACCTTCCCTTAAATGGCTTGATCCAGGGTGACATCTTCCCTTATGCAACAGGGTGTCACGTGCTAATTTTCTGTGGGCTTCCTGCATTCCCAAGTTCTCATAAGTCATTTGATTAGAACATTAACCTTTTCCTTCTGTCTCATATGCTAATAGCATTATGCCACTGCATCATCATTGTCATATAATTATATTATTGGAATGCTATTCACAACTGTGTGGCCTTCACCTGTGTGTAAAAACTGACATTAGGTAAATCTATTTATAGACTGCAAATGCATTTTTCTTTGGCAGTCAGACAGGTAAAAAATGAACTGTTTTGCTTCTGGATGTACATTAGTTTAAGTGTATATAGCGTACATACAATTTCAGAATTATTATGTAAACATGTATGAGAATGTTTGTTCCCCTGTGCTCATATATGTCTTGTTTGTTGTTGTTTGTATGTCTCAAGTAATATAAATAAAGAATTAATTTCATTGTTTACTCTTAGTAGATACTAGACATACTGCTAAGAAAATGTTTGGGATTGAGTGGCACAGTAAGAGAGAGTTTACTATGTGTTGGTAACTTTGGGACACCCTGTGACCATCTTTGAATTAAGCTAGATTTTGTAAAAGCAAGATGGATAGAAGTTTTGGCTATGTGGAAATAGGACCACTAATAAAACAAAATACTGATATTCAGCTGTAAAATAGTTATTTCATATACCTGTGTAAAATAGATAAATAGCGAAGTACTGTTCCTTTCTTTTAGTACAGTACGGCTTGCAATTTGTCTTGTTCTCCTGTGCTCACTTTTTTTACCATCTCCTCCTTTCACTACAAAACCTATATAGACAATAAGGGATGTGAATTACTTTGAGAATTCCAGATAACTGTATGTGTCAGAGCTATTTTTTTTGCTCAAAGCACATGAGTATTTCCAAAGTAAATCCAGGGAGGTCAATGGAATAAGATTTAAGCTATGGAAAGGCATTCCTTTTCAGACCTTATGGTGCTGATGGAAATGGTTACTAATCCCTGCTGAGTATGGCTGTCACCAACAGAACATTACCGCGTCTCCAACAATCTCCTGTTTATATGACTGCTCTATGATCTGTTTTAGAAAATTTGGGCATCATTGAGACATTTTCCCTGTTTAAGGTAGACCATCTGTGCACACAGATGTAGTTGAGAATAAAACTTGATCATAAGTTGTCTTATTCCTTGTCATTGTTTGTTCCCTATCCAGTAAAGTCAGTTATTTGTCTCAACAAAAAATGACATGGCTGATCATGTACTTCCAACCATCATTTTGCCTTTAAGAATGTGTTTTATTTAAAGTAAATATGAATGTTGAGTAACTTGGTAATCTTCACCTTAGGTCAAGAAGTCAATATCTAATTAACAGAATATTCACCTTAAGATACAAAGTCAGTTTCATATTTAGAAACTCAGTCTAATATTATTGATAAAATTTCAAATGTAAATCCCTGAATTATACATGCTTGTCCAGCCTAATTGGTTAGCTAAGAAATTTATGTTTTATCTAAAATACTTTTATGGTTTAAGGCTGTAAACTAGGAATAATAAAATATCAGATTAATTAGGTAGTATCTGGGTTTGTAGTAGAAATATCTTGGATTTATGCTTTAAGAAGGAAAAAAAACCAACAGTGGGCAAAAGGCAACAAAGTGAGATCTGATTGGCACCATATGTCAGACTCAATGTTCCTTCTTTTTTTTCCTCTGCACATTATCTGAGATACCTATTCCATGCCCCAACTTCTTAATTTAAAGATTAGATTGGTAATTGGTTATACATTTGAGACCTACATATGTCTTATGTAGAACAGTATACATTGCACATGGGCTTGGTTTTAAAGTTAAAGATACATTGCAAGTTGCATAAGGCATTCTAGTTTGTTCCGTACAGCATCTGCATGTTGAAATCTGAAAAGGATATCTGCACATTGAAGATTATTGCAAAGGCAGTATTGTCCAACTCTGTGATGGGTATTTTGACCAGGGCTAGAGAAAAGGCTTTACATTGCTTGAAAAAATAGTGATACTGAGTTGAAGTTCACGTATTTCTAACAGATTAGTAGATTAATTTGCAATGGCTTCTCCATTATAAATGCTGCTTCCAATTTTTAGGTGGCTTGTATTTTTTTTTAAGCTTTAAAATCAGAAGAGGATGACTACTATATTAATGGTGCCTGGACTATTGACTGGCCAAGAAAGTTTGATGTTGCTGGAACAGCTTTTCATTACAAGAGGCCAACAGATGAACCAGAGTCTTTGGAAGCACTAGGCCCTACTTCAGAAAATCTCATAGTCATGGTAAAGCTATAATTAATATATTTCTGAAATTTGAAATGTGTATTTGTGTTCTGAGAAAAGACAAGACCATGAATGAAATCTAACATGATAATATATTCTTAGCAACAGAAAGGAAAAGCTTGATAGAGAATCAAAGTCTAGGGTTGGACTGGTAGTGTTGGACAACAGTGAGTGTGGACAAAAACTCATGATGATTGTTGCACTTCCATCTATGTCACCTGCAGTGATATGGCTACAGTGAGAATTTTGATATTCTTTTAAAGGAACCACAGGTGTGATTCCACCAAGCTAATGCTATTGGCCATTGCATTAGGGGAAAACGATGACCTCAGCAACAGTCTATTGCCGTTTCTTTTTTTGCGATTATTATAGTCACTAGAAGTACAAACAAGAGCAGAGCTAAGTTCATAACTGCTATGTAGGTAGCTTCTCACAAGATTTCAGTGAGGACTGTTGCATGTTTGCACAGTAATGTCCTTACCCAGCTTTGACCTTACATAATTATTCAGCTGTCAAGTTAATTTCCATTAAGTTGTTAATTTTATGAAAACTGGCTTTTTAGGACAATTACTTTAAGAATAAAGAAATTACAAAGTTGTGTTAAGGGGCAGGAAAAAAGACAAAGCTCACCTTAAACAATAATATTTTTCTTTTGCATATGTTTTAAAAGTTAGTCCTGATTCTTTTGGAAATACCTAAAGAACTACTATGGCTTCCTTGATTTTTTTTTTTCCTTCCATAGGACATAACACATGCCTAGATTAAATGTCACTGTAGTTGCCCACTGCTTGCCTGTTTTAATGGTATAACCAGTTGTTTTCAACTACAGATTCTGCTGCAGGAACAAAATTTGGGTATAAGATATAAATTCAATGTTCCCATCTCTCGCACTGGCAGTGGAGACAATGAAGTTGGCTTTTCATGGAATCATCTGCCTTGGTCAGAATGTTCTGCAACTTGTGCTGGAGGTAAGACACCAGGCAGTCAAGCTACGGGTAAACTGAATTGCAAGATACACTTTACTACATAATTATCTAGGTAACTAATTGAAAACGTTTCTTTCAGACATGCTTCAAACCTTAATTTAATGAAAGAACATTTGTTTTATCACAATGGATTTTGTTGTTTTCAAGTACATTTAATATGTTCAGATGTTTTTGTTAAATACAATATATCATGGCACAGTGTCTCTCTCAGAGCTGATGCTTCTTCTGAGATTCTCTTGAAGTTGGTATATTCGCTTTTCACAGGAGCTTTTTTGATAAAGGACATCAGAAGTTTTAATTAAGGAGATTAAAAACCAGAAGGCAAATAAGGCAACTGTAAATAAAGAGATGTGTCTTCCTGTGTTTGTAGGTATGCTTCACATGATCCTAGTCAGCCCTCCTATCCTCCAGCCACCAAAGTTTAGGATGCGTACTGGCAGCTCCTCTGTAGCAGATGATAACAACTGGACTATACTTCCCAGCCCATAGCAGTATCTAAGAATTGTTGCCTTTTGGCAGCAGTGGGGGATTTGTAGGTTGTCCCATGTGATTCATCATGGGTGCCTTTTGCCCACAATTTACTATATTCCTAATCCTCCCTCTAGTGGCCATCAATGCAATTCTTTACCTCTGGCTGGGAGAGCAGGACAGTTGGCTTCCTTCAAAGCCAACACCATTGCTGCTGCAAGGACTGGTGAGTAGAAGTGCTGTGTGAACAGTATCTTTCTTCTCTCTGGAGACTGAATGCATCATCTTCCCGACATACCTCAGTTTCAGAAGATACTGAAGAGCACTTTAAATCCACCTCAGAATTTCAGTTTTCCACTGCACTGTGCCCTACCCGTAGCAAGAGGAAGACACCATATTTTTTTAGAGAACGTTTGGAACAAACATCATCTTTTTTTTCTGGCTACTGGAGGGATTCATATTAAGAACCATCCCGACTCATCTTTCTGCTGGAACCTGATGTGGCTGTTACTAGATGTTTGTAAATACAGCTGTTTGCTTAGCTGTGTGCAATACACAAAGAACAGCACAAATTCTCTTCTGTGCCACTAAATAGAGAAAGTCCTGAAACAAAACAGAGGAAGGTGCCAACTTTCTCCAGTATTTTTACTGTTCGTTTGTTGGATTCCTGGGTGACAAATTGCTTTTTTAACTGCTATTTTAGTAATGGTGAGTCTGGTAGGAAAAGGAACATTTTAAAGAAGTATAAGAGGGGAAGTGCCTAGGTCAGCTCCAAGTATCAACCTTAGAAGTCCTGCCAAATCCTATTTTTATGATGGCAATGAGTTAATGATGGCTTTTGAAGTCATGGGAAAACCACCGTTGATTTAGGCAGAGACAAGATTTTAGCTATGGATCTTCTGTCATGTAGGTCAGTGTCATTTCACAGATTTGACAGTATACAATGGAAAAAAATAATTGGCTCTAAAGGAGTAGGCACTTGTCTAGATTAAAATATTTTGACTCGGTTAATTAACTTTTAAGGGAAGATTTGTGAATCCCTGAAAACTGCATACACTTATTAATTTGAAGCTTGAAGGCTCTCTTTGGTAGCTTATGGTGGCTAAACCAGGCACTTTTCTCTCTTTCAGCTTGGTATGAGAATATACTATGGTCACTTATTTTCACTGAACTCTGTGTTCAGGGAATAAATATTTCATTGTAGCTATAATTCATCTTTAAAACTGTATCTGCTTTCTCCATATGAGTACCTGCTATTCTTCTCAGTTTATGAAACACCTTTCGCCATATGCCAAAAGAAGACACAATTCTAAAAAGGAGCTGAGTCAGGGAGAAAGAAAATGGAGACAAAGGTTGTAGAGACAGAGACCATAACTGGAAAATGTGACTAGTATAAATACAAAGTGTTGAGAAAACTAAGAATTGAAACCACTGCATGGCTTTGTTTATTTCTATAGGATTCATTGTGAAGTCCGTTATTGAAGTTCTATTTACTTGAACTCTGTCTTTAGAAGGGACATTTTGCTCTACATCAAAGAATAACAAAACATTAAACAGTTAAAAGATTTCTTACTGAAAGTAAAAAAAAAAAAAGAGGACAATAAGCATGTGTGAGGAGTATTAGTATGGAAATTATTTTTTATATACAAGGTTAAAAAAATTATACAGTGACTTTGGTACAGACTGTGAACAAGTTAAAGGCATCACCATTTTCCTGCCTCTTGTTGTAGTTGGTGTAGCTCACTTGTAGTGCATCTGATCTGATCTGCATGACTGATCAGGGTTTGATCATATCATATTTCACCCTGATGTAGGAAAGCTGTAGATATAGAGATAGAGGCAGATATATTTTTGTGTCAAAGCTGTAGGCAAATCTAAATTCTAATAATCATATTTAACTTCTGTCCATCTCTGAACATGTCTGTATTTTAATGTTATATCTTTTTGTCTAGGTGTATGTAACACTTAAAAGGCTGACTTAAAATAACATCAAATTTACAAGTCTTTGGAAGCCAGGAAGTTGACAGAATTAAGGTTGACCATAAAATCTTCAATAGTTTTCTGTTATTATGACTGTTATGTGAAACAGGTATCAGTTGAGCAGGGACCATTCTGTGAGGCTGTGTCACGGGCTAGCTCATGTCCACTCCACACTACTTAAGTCTAGTTCTCTCTAAATCATACTGACTGTAGCTGCATTACATAGCATTTGACCAAGACTGTGACTCTTTAAACAAAGTTATTACTTGATGTATGTTGTTTAATTCAAAGAATCTAGAAAATAAAAAGTGAGAACTACATTACAGCCCACCGAAGTAATATTTCTGTATTGTGAACTTGAGGATATGTATTGAATGTCATGAAGTAGAGCACGAAGGCTAGAGCATTTTGGCAGTGTGAAGTTTAAAAAGTTTTGGAATATTGTATATTGTAGAAGTGTCCAATCTTTGTGCAGTTTCTTCTTCGCAGTATTTTGAGAGCAATCCACTGCATTCAGCTGTTCCTAGAGCTGCTTGTAGGCCTTTTTTGGAGGAAGGATAACTAGAGCAGTCAGGAGCCAAGGAGCAAGCTAAGAGCAAGCTAGGAGCAGCCAATTATCTTTAATTAGATGCTAATGTGCTGTCTTTTCCACTGGACTTCTATATTATGTTCATCTCTGCTGTGCTGATGAGTCACATCTGAACAGTAGAAGTGCTTTAACTTTTCAAGCAGGACCCCTGTTTGAGGAAGAGCATGGTAAATGGAATGGTAGGAAGGAGAAGGAGGCTTTCCTACTTACAACAGCTCAGTGTGTTGCCAGAGCTCTGGATTCCATTCCTGCCTCCCTTGTGTGGTTCTTGTGTGATACTGAGCAACTCAAAGCATACATTACAATCTTACTTGCTGATTATCAGTCATCATTATATGGGTACCTCTCTGGAATGTCTGACCTCTGAAGCATGCAATGAATTTTGTCATTGTGTGAAGTGTGTGTAAAGCAAAGTATTCTGAAAACTCAGCCGGACACCTGAAATCAATGGACTCTTTCCACAGTAGATACTATACCTCCTTTCCCCCTGTATTCTTCATCAAGTGATCTAGAAGATAAATAAGTTTGTGAAACAAACAGTTACATGTTTTGATTGCCTCTAAAAAGCAGCAGAAGAAAATCTCTTTCATGAGAGATTCTAAACTCTGTATTTAGGTAGTGTCATTCACGTTAAAGGAGAAAATAAAATACTCCATAGTTCCTGTGCCAGTGAACATCGTGTTCTGTATAGTGAACCAAGCAGAAATAAGTCTCTGAAGTCTGACGTTTATTTTAGTATTTTCTTAAGTTTTTCTAAAAATAGGTTCTTCAGGTTTACCAGGTAGTTAAAAAGGCTTGCCTGGTAACAGACAACTCTTACTTTCCTGGATTCATGTATTCATGTGTAGGATGAGAATACAATTTCATTAATTTTTAATATCATTAGTATCTGTTCTTAGGTTTAGAAATCCAGAATTGCATCTTTTCTTTTTTTTTTTTTTTGTAAACTAGAACCAGTATTTTCTCTGTTGAAAAACTTGTCTTTAAAATATAAAAGTATAGTATTTGAGCTAGTTCTTCCTCTCTGGGAACATTATGTAAAGCTGAGCTACATGTATTGTCCATATTAATTCCCCTTTTTCCTGAAAGTTCACTGATAACTGTTCTACTCTTGAGTCAAGAGTTCTCAGAAGGAAAGTTTGTTACTATCTCGTATAGATATTTATAGCTGGTAGCAGATTTGTACAAGACTACAAGAAAACAGTACCAGAGAATATCAGAATGTACAGTGCAAGTTTATCTATACAGAGAAGAGTGGGAGAGAACACAGGGGATTCAGAAGGGACGGATGCATGGATGAAGAGTTCACTGAAATCCAGAAAAAATGATGACAACAACAGAAGATTTTCTTCTAGGGACCCGATTACTTTATAGTTTAATGAAAAAGTCTGAGAAGGAGAAAACCAGAATACGTAGAAATAGGAAATAACAAAAAATGAGAACTAGAAAGAAAAGGAAGTGCTAAAATAGGAAAGGGTGATACAGATCACAGAATTGTAGTTTATTTACTCTAATGCCTGCCTTTCGTTATATGTGATCTTTTTAGCTTTTTGGAGGCAAGTATACAACTTTGTTCAGATCCATTATTATTCTTAATAAGGAAGTGAACTACTGGTAGTGTTTAAAAAATTCCAGCAAAGCAAAAAAGATATCCTTCAATATGTTTTTACTTTTGTATGCATTTAAACTCCAAAAAGTGCATGCCCCCCTTTTTTTAATGTCTTCCATTCTTAGTAAATTCTAACAGTAAATGGCAACAAATGAAAGCATTTATTATCTGGAATTTATCAGGTATCCTAAAGATTAGTTTTGATTTCATTCATTCTATTAGAGTTCATCTCCAGGTGAGTTAAATGTCTTAGATACTCATTTTTTTAATGAAATAGTTAGTGTACTATTGTAAGTAAATTGATTGCTGTCCAGTTTTCTTTGCCGCTCATCACTC